CGAGACCCCGCCCACCGCCCCGCGAACCAATCGAGACCCCGCCCACCCGCCCGCAAACCAATCGCGACCCCGCCCACCGGCTCGCGAACCAATCGAGACCCCGCCCACCCGCCCGCGAACCAATCGAGACCCCGCCCACCGCCCCGCGAACCAATTGAGACCCCGCCCACCCGCCGAGACACCGCCTATCGCTCCGCCCACCGCCGTAGTCCCGCCCATATAACCGCCCCCCTCGGTCAACTGCCCACCGCTCCTGTTCGCCTCCCGTCCTAGGCATGCGCGGCCCGCCCCGCCCCGCTCGCCCCGCCCGCCCCCCGCTGTTCTGGCGGCCTGCGGCAGCGGCGTTCATCATGTCTTCGAGGGGCCCGTTCCGCGGCCCCCCCTCCTTCCCGCCGCCGCTGCTGCGCTTCGGCCAATCCGCCGTGTTCGGCCAGGGCGGCGGCGGCGGCCCCGCCGGCCTCCCCTTCGGCCCCGGGCCCGCCGCTTCCTTTGGGCCACCCTACGCGCTGGGCCCGGCGCCGGCCCCGGCGGGGAACGCGGAGTTCAGCTTTAGGCCGCCTACCAGCCTGGGCGGCTTCCCGGGCCCGGGTGAGGCGCCGGGTGGCGGTGGCGGGGCCTTCGCGGCGCCCGAGTTCCGCTTCAAGGCGCCCGAGAGCGCCGCCGCCGCCCCCTTCAAGCCGGTGCCGGGCGGCGAGGCGGAGAAGGGCCCGGCCGCTCCCGCCGCCTTCGCCTTCTCGGCTCCCTTCGGCTTCGCGCCCGAGCCGGGCCCCGAGGCTGCGGTGGCGCGGGAGCCCTTCTCGTTCTTGCGGCCCGCCGCCGCGCTGGGCCGGCCGGAGGACAGGGGCCCACGGACGCTGCCGGAGGAGCCGGGGGAGCCGGCGCCCAAGGGGCTGAAGCGGAAGGAGGAGCGGGAGCGCTCCCCGCGGCGGGCGGCGGCGGGCGGGCGGGCGGCGGCGGCGCCGCCGGAGAAGCGGCCGGTGGTGCTGAGCCGGTCCCGCGGCGGGGCCCTGTTCGGCCGCACGCTGGAGGAGATGCTGCGCAGCCAGGCCCGCGAGCACCGCGAGCGCGGGGACGGCGCGGAGCCCGAGCGCGGAGCCGCCGAGGAGCCGCCGCCGGCCGAGGCCCGGGAGCTCCCCCGGGAAGGTGAGTGGGGGTGGCGGTGGGGCAGCCCCGCTTTCTGAGTGCTGTCACCCCTCTTTCTGACTGCCGTCGTGTTTCTTCCCGTCACAGATGCGGCCCCCGCCACCCCCGCCCGACGGACCCGCGGCAGCGAGAGCACGGAGGGGCTGGGGGGCCTGCCTGCCGCCGAGCTGACGGCCATCCAGTGCAAGAACGTCCCTGATTACCTCAACGACAGGACCGTGCTGGAGAAGCACTTTGGCCAGTTCGTAAAAATCCGACGGGTCCTGACCAGACGTAATAAGAAAATGGCCATTCTTCACTTTTTTGATCACGTGAGTATCAGAAGTGGACGGTACAAGAGTTGGGAGTATTCAGCATGCAGAAGTCTCCAGGGGTACCTTAGAACCACTTCCAGTGCTTAAAGGGAGCTTACAGAAAAGAGGGAGAGTGACAGCAGGTAGGGAGAGGACAAGGGTGAACAGTTTAAAGTAAAAGAGGGGTTACTTTTATATTGCTTATATATTAGGTGTTAAGAAGAAATTTTTCCTTGTGAGGGTGGTGTGGCCCTGGCACAGCTTGCTGTGGCTGCCCCATTCCTCTAAGTGTTCAAGGTCAGGTTAGGTGGGGCTTGGAGCAACCTGAGCTAGTGAAAGGTGTACCTGCCCTTGGTAGGGGGTGGGACTGGATGGTCTTTCAGGTCCCAGCGCTGAGGTGTGTTAAGCAGCCAGTTCAGAGACTGCATGATCTGATCCTGTTTTGTGCTTAAAAACACACCTTTGGTTTCAAGTGCCTTAAATTTGCTATAGCTCTTAGAAAAGCACCATTTTATTTGTGGGAACTAGTCCAGCTGGTTGTTCTTAAGTGAGAGGCTAAAATGCAGCAACCAGAATTTTGTGGCAATTGGTAAACGTGTCTCTGGCAATGTTTCTCTCACTGTGCTGTGAGTTTTGGTGTTGTGGTGCCAATAGGTTTTCATGCTCTGCTTTTGTTTTCTTTCAGGCCTCTGCAGCTCTTGCAAGGAAAAAAGCGAAAGAGTTACACAAAGACATAGTAACATTTTGGCAAAAGAAGAAGACTAGTAAGTCTGTGTTTCCAGATTACTGGGTGATGGGTAAATAGCATTCTAGCTGCTCTTCTTTTTTCCTGATGTGCTGAGAATGATATCAAAATTATCTCTAGTAGGAGATATGGTTGAAAATTGCCCTGTTTCTCTCTTAAATTCATATTGTCTAAAACCTGTTGCTTGATCTGAAGCAAAATGCTGTTTCAGCCATACAGAAGAGCTGAAGACTCCTGAAATGACTGTAGTTTTAGAAGAGAGTCTAGAAATCCTTTATGCAGCTGCATAGCAGGAATATGCTTCTGTCTAGAAGTAGAAGTTCTTTGGGGGTGTAAGAAAACCCAGTTTGAAATGCTTTGCTGTCTGCCTCAGACCATGGACTGAGAACTAAGTTAAGGAGTACCCTGGAGCTGAGTGTCTATTTTGCTGAGGTTGCTGTTATGTGTATCAGCAGTTAGACCCTGTTTGAACCAAAAAAGAGAGCAACCTACAGAATTTAGAATTGGGAAACCTTGATTGCAGACCCTGTTTGGGATTAGGAGGAGGTTGTTAATCCTCAGGCAAACAGTGGAATTGTCAAGTGCTTCCCTTTATTTAGCTTTATGAATGCAGCGTGTGTACCTGATCCCAGCCTGGGGATGCACTTCACCTGCAGCATATGAATGGTTCACTTCAGCTTCGATCAGCCACAGACTTGCCTTCCAGAAAACAGCTGCAGAATTGTCTTCCTGAGAATTAACATCTTGAAGCAGCAGCTCTAGGGCTGCCTCTTTGCCCTTGTCATTTTATTGTGGTATTACATCCCCGGCAGCATTCTAAAATAACTATTCTGAGAGGATTTAAGAAATCCAACCGATTTAAAAATTGTTCCTGGGAGAAGAAATTTTCCCTTCCTGCAAGTGTGAGCATAACTTGTGCTGACCTTTGTCTGAGCTTGGGTACTTAAGTACTTAAAATGCTTCAGGAGGAGCACGGGGAATTGTGATCTACACAGGCGAAATGGATTTTGTATCCCGTAGGTAGTTCTGACTTGTGGATTATATCCCAAACCTGAGAGAATTTGGATGATGATCAGACTTCATTTACTGACAATCTGCTGACAATTGGCGTTATTGATAAGTGATATTTTATTGAAAAATACTCTTTATAGAACAGTGACTCTGATAGCAATTGATAGAAACTTAACTTGGTGCAGCTCCTAGTGCAAGTTTTCCTGGAAGTTCTGTATGCGTGTACAAAACTGTGACTCTTAAGTTTTATTTTCCAATAGTATTTTTGTTTAAACAAACCTCTCACCACCCCACCCCCAAGGGGCAAAAAAAAGCTGTTGCTTAAATTGCTTGGCAGGTTTCATGTTTATGTGTCATTTCAGGTCCAGCAAAAAGAGAATTTTCATCCAAAGAGAAGAAAGCAGGGGAAGATGAAGGAAGACAAAGCAGTGAAGAGCAAAGCTATCAGCATTCCCCGCTTCGAAAACCTTTAATAAGATCCTCTGCCAGCAGTGTCATGCCTGGGAGAAGGTAAGTCTGCTTCTCTGGGAACCCACCTGGCAGGAAATGGACAGCATAGAGGAAAAACTATGATCAGTGTGTGCCAAACAGTCATGTTCTCCTCAGGGAGTGTTGCTTCCTTTCTCTTCTGGTTTGTCTGCATTACAAGCACACAGCTCTCACACTTGGTCAGAAGGATGCTCCTAGCTGAGTATTAAGGTCTTTCACTTTGGTCTCTGTATTTTCTTTCGAATATTTTGTCCATAACAACATAACAGGACCTGCAGTAGTGAGACATGAGGGAATTGAATGAAACAATGCAGAGCCAAACTGGGACCAAGCAGCAGTGACACTGTCAGTGGTCGTGATTCAACAAGCTCCCGAAGCGAGCAGTTTCCTTTGTAGGCAGTCAGAGTTCTGTGGAATCAGAGTTCCCTTTTCAGAGCAGTTTGGATCATTGTCTTGTCTCACTTGGAGTCAACAGTCTGCACAGGAATCCTCCTGTTTTGTGGCAGTCACAGAAGTGGCAAGGTTGTTGTCTTTCTGTCATGCTCATTGGTGTGTCTAGTCTGACAAAAGTAATTTGATATGTGTAGTCATATAACTATAAAATCAGTAATGTGTTGTGAAGGAATCAAAGTTCCTTGAGTTAAAAAGAATGTTTGTCCTGTAAAATCTTTTAATAATCTCTCTTGCTATAGAAAGCATTTGTTGTTTTTGGTTTTTTTCCCCATGCCAGCAGGTCAATTCCTAGTTTAAAATACAAACTGCTGTACCACAGTGATCAAGAAATGCTACAAGAACCATCTGTTTCTGTCTTCTCTAAGACACTTTAAGTAATACCTTTTCTGTTGCACAAAGGTTGAGGCTTTCCCTACAGTCCAGAAATGCTTGGCAGCATTGTCAGGGCAGTGCTGAGGATTTAACCAGATTAACTCCCAGTGCTGATGTTAGCTCAGAACAACCTTAGCACATCCAAATGTACTTCATTTATTTCATATGTTGCCTTGTGGACAAAATACTCTTCTAAACAAATGCTGGCATCCTGAAGAACAGTGCACTGATTAAGACAGGGCATGCACTAGTGTATTATTATTGCTTAAAAAAAAAAACCTTCTCTTTTTAGTTCTCCAGCAAAGAAGCCTGGTCTTCGAAAGGCGCTGCAGTTTGAAGCAGATCTGTTTGATTCTACTTCTGAAGGGCAGGGCTCAGAGGGCTTGGGAGCTTCACTGTCATCCCTTGGTAACCTGGTGGGATTAGTGGCAGAGACATCTGAAGAAAGATACCGGCTTTTGGACCAAAGGGACAAAATCATGCGGCAAGGTAATTACACAAGTTGATGAGCGTAACATCTGCTGCTCTGCTGGAAACAAGTGTTTGAGGTTTGTGGCAAAGCTGTTGTGATACTATGGAAATGGAAGTTTAACATGGAGCAGTCTGTAAAATACTCACCTAGTGTATCACTTTTTCTCTTGTAGAACACACGAAAATCTGTTTTACTTATTGCACATGCAATATGTTGTGTAAAGGGAAGGGCAGACAGTTCATCTTCTGTGAAGAAGAACACGCAGGGAGATTTCCATCTCTACAGGCTCTTTAAAAGTGACCCAAACTGCATTTCGTAGAACCACAGGATGGTTTGGGTTGGAAGGGACCTTAAAGCTCATCCAGTCCCACTTCCCTGCCATGGGCAGGGACACCTTCCACTAGCCCAGTTTGCTTCCAGCCCCATCCAACCTGACCTTGAGCACTTCCAGGGTTGGGGCAGCCACAGCTTCTCTGGGCAACCTGTGCCAGTGCCTCTAGTGTTTCTCTAAATTCGAGCTATTACACAGCTGGCAATTATTTCAAGAAATGGCCCTTTGTTTCACAGTGCTGGTTGTAAACCCTTCCATCCTTTCTTGCAGGTTCAAAACTGACCTTACTTTTAATTTAAGGTCTCATTTTTAATACCTACAAAAAAATTTTCACTTGATGTGGAATTTTGAAATTGCTGATGCTTGCTTAGGACACAGAACATTGGGTATCTTTTAGAAGCTTCAGTCTTTTCAGCAAAACTCTTCAATATGTGCAACCCTGGGACAGGCCCCAGAGTGGGGGGAACCCCATCCTTGTGCATTTCTGATTACATCAAGGTGTGGGTATAGCCTTGCGTGCTCAGGGTTCTTTTGGTACATCAGAGTAATAGCTTGTCATGAAAAAAAACACCCAAACCCAGGGGATGCTTAGTGTTTGTTCAATTATTTATTTTACTTTAGCTCGAATAAAAAGGACTGATCTTGACAAAGCAAAAACCGTTGTTGGCACTTGCCCAGACATGTGTCCTGAAAAGGAGCGTTACATGAGGGAGACAAGAAACCAGCTCAGCATCTTTGAATTGCTTCTAGGATCTGACAAGGTATGAGATTCCCAGGATATCAGTTTTCCTGCTGCTCATTAAAGTTGTCGATGTTGTTTAGTTGTCTACAGGGTTAATTTTGGTGGAAAAATTCTGTAGGCTGTTTCATTAATGCCTTTCAGTTCTCCATTGGAAAACAAGAAGGCTAGAGAATTGCTTTTCCACTCTAAGTTGTCTTTTATTTAGCTAGACAAGTTTTTAGAACTATAGTCCTAAAACTATAATTACATATTGTACGTAATTATATGTAACAGTTATATATGTTGTCTTGAAGGTTATGAGTTTGAGACTAAGTCAAGACTTAAAAAATCTGCTCCTTACTGAAGTAATGGCATAGATGGGATGAAATCCTCTTTACTCCTGAAAAGTTGTCCGTATGTCTTGGATTTTGATTGTTTTGTCCACATCTTGCAGGTAGATCATGCGGCAGCAATCAAGGAATATAGCAGGTCTTCGGCAGATCAGGAGGAACCTTTGCCCCATGAATTGAGACCCTCTGAGGTGTTGAGTATGACCATGGACTATTTAGTGACAAACATTATGGATCAAGGAGAAGGAAACTACCGAGAGTGGTATGACTTTGTGTGGAACAGAACTCGTGGAATAAGAAAGGTAAGCACTGTGGATGGAGGTGTTTGGTGATAGAAAGTAAAAGATCACATCGTGCTGTAAAAAAGTGAAGCAAACGTTTTGAATTGCAGGGTGACTCAAAGCACAGTGAAATGGGTTTTCCAAAGGTGACTGGTCTTCAACTTGTTTAAAAGTATATGTAATTCTTTATCATTCTGGTTAGGATATAACCCAGCAACATCTCTGCAACCCGCTGATGGTGTCTCTGATTGAGAAGTGCACTCGCTTTCACATCCACTGTGCTCACCACTTGTGTGAAGAGCCCATGTCTTCCTTTGATGCCAAAATCAACAATGAGAACATGACTAAATGCCTGCAGAGCTTGAAGGAGATGTATCAGGACCTGGCTAACAAGGGAATTTACTGCAAGAGTGAAGCAGAGTTCCGAGGCTATAATGTCTTGCTGAATCTCAACAAGGGGGATATTCTCAGGTGGGAACAAGACACCACTTGTTTTCTCTTTTTGCTTCTGGGAAGAATTGAGTTTAGGATTAAGTCCAGACAAATTGTAATGCTCCTGTTTTTAATTCTGTGTTGTTACAGGTTGCTGTTGAATTGTGATAGTTAATATTGAAGCAAAAGGTTTGTCTCTGTCTTTTGTCTCCACAGAGAAGTTCAGCAGTTTCATCCAGAGGTTAGAAACTCGCCTGAAGTTAGATTTGCAGTTCAAGCTTTTGCTGCATTAAACAGCAACAACTTTGTGAGGTTTTTCAAGCTTGTGCAAACAGCTTCCTATCTGAATGCCTGTCTCTTACATGGTTATTTCAACCAGGTGAGAAAAAGGATATTTTTTAAAGTATTGATCAGTAAAACCGTCTGGTATTTAGCAGCGAACTTAGTAAATATTGAGCCTTAAAAATAATGTCGTTATTACTTCAGAAGTATTAAAAATTAATCAAGAGCTTTCTGCTGTGATATAAAAGGCAAATAATAAAATGTTGTGGTTTTTTTTCCCCCGTAACTGTGTACAAATACATATTTCCCCTGAAAATAATAATTGGGAAGCAGGGAAACAGGCCTGGAAATCTTGCAGAGTAAATACGAACCTGCACTATCGGAAGCCCTTACAAGGTGTTCTTTTCTACACAAGGTTCACAAAGGGATACGCTCAAAAATGAGCATCATGAAAGAGGAACAGAAACTGGAAAGCCAAGTGCATAGAATTTAAAAAGAAAGTGAAATCTGAATAGTTGTTGGTGTGGACATTGATGGCAAAGTATCGATGTATTTAAATGTGATTTTCGTGTTTATTGTATATGTTTTATATTGCATTTTGGGTTTTTTCTTGGTAGTTATGTGGCTTTTCCTTTTCTCTTCCCCCAGATTCGTAAAGATGGTCTCAAATCCCTCAATATTGCCTACACTGTGAGCACCCAAAGATGTACAGCGTTTCCCTTGGACCACCTGGTCCGCATGCTGCTGTTCAAAGATTGTGAGGAGGCATCTGATTTCATAAGTTATTATGGCCTGAGCGTATCAGATGGGTAAGTGTGAGGAAAATGGTCCCTGGGGGGGTTGGACTGATGTCAGACAAAGGGCTAATGTAGAGGAGTAGCTCCTGAAGTTTGGATCCAAAAAAAAGAAGAGGCGAAGAGTTGGGGCTGGGCTCTCTAGGCAAAGCACTGATGGGTGCAAACTTTAATAATCTGTTCTAGTTTTTATTGCTGTAACTATGAAAAGTTCTTTAATTTTGCATCTTTCCCTCAGGAGGTTGGTATCCCTGTAGCTACTTCATAGAATCACAGAATGGTTAGGGGTGAGAGGGACCTTAAAGCTCTCATCTCATTCCAACCCCCTGCCATGGGCAGGGACACCTTCCATTGGACCAGGTTGCTCCAAACCCCGTCCAACCTGGCCTTGAACACTTCCAGGGCTGGGGCAGCCACAGCTTCTCTGGGCAACCTGTGCTGGGGCCTCACCACCATCACAGGGAACAATTTCTTCCCAATATCCCATCTAACCCTGCCCTCTGGCAGTAGGAAGCCATTCTCCTTTGTCCTGGCACTGCCCTTGTCCCAAGTCCCTCTCCCTCTCCAGACTTCCCTTCAGGCAGGTCTCCCTGGAGAGTCTTCTCTCCTCTGGGCTGCACAATCCAAACTCCCTCAGTCTGTCTTCATAGGAGAGAAGACTTCCCACAACTCTTTTTGGCACTCTCGGCATTGGCTTCTTTATTTTCCTTGGCTTGATAAGATGACAAGGGGTTTCAAGGATCAAAATTCCTTCAGGAAGGTGGTAAAAACAAGAGAAAAACGTTTTCCCCAAAGGAAAAACTGCATGTTGAGCTCAGTCTCCATTGGACTCCAGGGACTTCTTCCCTAGAAGGAGACATTGAAGATAAGCCAGTAGGGAAAAAAATTGGTCTAAGTTCTTGTTTTGTAGTTGAATTGTTGTAAACTGCAGCTCTGTTAGAAATGAGGAGACAGTTCTGCTTCTTGGGAAACCGGCATTATGGTGATTCCTGTAGAGTGGGATGAAGCTGAACATTGCAGACTAGTTTTTAGTGGATGTTGGAAGCCAGCGGTTCATAGGTCTGCCATGGAAATCCATACATTGTGTGACCGCCCGAACTTGGAATCTCAAGAGACTGGAGAAGGAAAAAACCCCCATAGTGGTCTATTTCCTGTCAACATTCTCTTTTGAAGCACTATATTTCCAAACTGAAAACCTGTAGGTTGCTGGAGCTTTGGGGATGTACTCCTGGTTGTTGTTTTTGTTTTTCCCCAGGGGTTACGTGGAGCTGAATCGCTCCGCTTTCCTTGAGCCCGACGGGTTACCCAAACCTCGGAAGTCTGTATTTGTGAGCCAGAAGCTCACTGTCTCAGTTGGGGAGGTTGTGAACGGGGGTCCTTTGCCCCCAGTGCCCCACCACGTGCCTGTGTCCAGCTTCAACGGACAGAACAAGTACATCGGTGGAAGCACCTCTGTGGATCAAGCTGGTAGTAGCCAAAAACCCAGCATGGAAACAACAGGTGAGAGCAAACATGCATTTTATTTAGGTACTGCTCTGTGAGCTGAAACTGGGCTGATAGGGTTTGAAATTGCCTGGAAATCCGAATGTAACAAAAACATGAAAATGTAAATCGTAATTGCAATCACAGAAGGGTTTGGGTTGGAAGGGACCTTAAAGCTCATCTAGTTCCAGCCCCCCCCCAACATGGCAGGAGCACCCTCCACTAGACCAGGTTGCTCAGCTGTATTTATGTATCTGTAAAAGCCAAGAACAACCTGATCAATAAAATGTATTTCCCAGTTCAGGAAACACACTATGGGAATTGAGCCAAATTTTGCCAACGTAGGTGAAATAATGAGATGTTTGCCTACTCCAGAACAACAGCCTCCCTTTGCAGTTTGCATATTTTGATTTGCAGCTGTTTGTTCCCACTGTATGTATAATCATGTTGGTTTTCGTGTTAGCTGAGTGTATGCTTTTCTGTCCTTGCTGAAAATACAGATATTCTGTGTAGGGATGACGTTTGCTTGACTTGAAACAGTTGTTTTGTTGGAAATATATGTGCTTTGTACTGGAGGTAATATGCAGTGAAATTTTTGAATGTTTTGTATGAAATATTCATAAATAGAAATTAGTTTCTATGATATAATTATGTTTTTAACTTTAAGGTGACAAGCTTCTGTTACAGACTTATTTATGGCCTGATGAGTTTTATCAAACAAGTCAGCTTTTGAAGACAACAGTTTTGCTTCTGTTTGTGACTGACCTCTTTTCCTTAATTTTTCTCCTCTCCCCTCCCAAGAAGGAAGAGTGGAAAGCAGAGGTGTGGATTTAGAGGCTGCAGCAGTAAGAATCCAGCCCCAGGCTCATCTTCTGCCCTCATTGTTGCCTCGTCAGCTTGTGCCAGGGCTGCCTCCTGCACAGCCCATCTCCCAAGCTGCTGCTCAACCCGAGCTTCTCCCTTCAAAGCCTCAGCCTGGCTACACAGACACGGTAGGGAAACGTAAATCCATCATGAAATATTTGGGAAAGGTCTGTGAAATGTAATAAAAGGTAACTGAGCTCTCAGAGTTTTTTAGTTTTCTGGAATGTGCATTTATTTCAAGTGAGACATGTCAAAGTTCCTTCTTGTGAGTGGATGACCAATAATGTTGGGTCTTGAATGTGTACCCCGTGTACCTGTGCTGTTTTTCATGCTCCCACACATGTTTGTGCTAATGCTGAACCAATCTCGGGGTGTTTTGTTGCTTTGTACAGCACAGCTGCCATATTGTACCTAAATGTGACCACATTTCAGGGGTTAGACCTGCTCATTTGGAATTAAATCAGCTAGAATGAGAGAAAGTCTAAAGTAAGAAAATAGGAATCTCTCTCAATATTCTCTCTTCTTAGTTATGATTTCCTAACTTGGCTTGCCTGAACTTAGTACAGAAAACTGCTTTTGTTTCTGGGCTGTTACTAACCTTTTAGATAGTCTAAAATTTCGTAGTCTAAAATTTCCAGGCTGTTGTGTTTGGTTAAGTTGTCTCAGTTTGTAAGCAGAAATACAGGTGATGCTGTGAATTACAGTCAGCTAAACAAGGCTAGAGAGCCTTACTCTCAGTTTACACCCAGGCCACCCTGGTAGGGACTGCACCTTTGCTTCAGCTGCTTCCTGTGCTTTATTTCAGGACATCGCCGAAGTGGTGGACGGGCTGGTGCACGACGTCCTCAAAGGAGAGTGCAGAGAAGTGGGCAGAGCAGGAGCAGCTTACGTGGCCACTGCCATCTGGTAAAGAGCATTTTTTGCTGGTTCTCCTGGAGTGTGTCACCAAAGCTGCCACCTGCCTTAGCATCCCCATGTGTGAAGATTGTAAAACTGAGCACTGCAAGGTCTGTAGCGGAGGTGGTGTTACTGAGGCGGTTGAGGGGAAGGCAGATCTTTCTTCGGATGTCTGCCACTCTGTCACATGCCAGGGAGCCTAAGGGAAGACTCACCCAACCCTCTGGAAGCCTTGCCTTGCAAGAAACCTGTGTTGTGGAAGGGAAGGTGTCCAAAGGGGGGACAAGAGGAGCAAGTCCAGATCTGGCTGCTTTGCTTCAGATAAATGTTTTTCCTCCAGGGCAGTTGGTAGAGTTGTAGATGTGGGATGTGACCTAAACAATTATTATTCCACCAGTGTTTTGGTTATTGCTGAACTGGAACAGATTGGCTAAAGTCCATTCCATGTGATGTCATGGTCAGCAATAAAACTGGGTTAGAGGAAGAAGGTGGGGGTTTCTGGCTTTCAGGGTGGACATTGATTAGAGACTGTCTGAGCATTGCTCTGCCTGTGGGAAGTGGTGGCTGCCTGCCTTTGCTTTGCTTTCTGGGGGCGTGAGGGTTTTCCCTTTTCCCATCGCAGTATTTTCATCTCCATCTGTGGGTTTCCTTTTTATTTCCTTACTTTCTTCTCTGTCCCAATGTGGGAAGGGGAGTGAGCCAGTAGCAGTGTGGGTGCTTGGCTAGTGGCTGGAGTCAGCCCACCACAAAGAGCAAGGTGTGAGTGAGAAAAGCACAGACCTGAGGCTTTGAATGAAAACTTCCTGGCTTTGAAAAGAGATTTTGCTGTTTCTGCACAGCACCTCGGAGGCCACTGTGGAGGAACTTGTGACTGAAGTGACAGGGGAGATCCTCAGACAAGTGGCAGGAAGCGTGCTTAGTGTGGAGAGGCAGCGTGTCCAGGAGGAACGGCGCAGAGTGGAGGAAGAGAGGTGAGGCAGGGTGGGCTGGGGACACCCTTGGACAACGTATGGACAGCTGGTGCCAACCTGAGTCCTTGTACCTGTGCTCAAGCCCCCGTGTCTTTCTGCCACACCGGCAGAACTGTCTCACCTTGAACTCCCCTGGGATCACGTAGAAGGTGTCGATTCTTGGGTGATCTGCTAGTTAGCATTTTGGTGACCTCACAGAGCCACTGTGAAAAGATGGGGTGGGAATTTTAGGAACTTTTATTCACCCAGAGCTTCAAGAAAGGGACGTGCTTCCCGGCCCTGCTGCGTGCAGGAACTTTTCCAACTCCCTGCCATGGGCAAGGATGCCACTCGCTAGATCAGGTTGCTCATGGGTAAATATTTCCCTCAAATAACCCCACTGTCATCGATATTTTTGAGGGAAACCTGGCTCCATGCAAGGCTGTTTATCTTTACAAATCAGCTAGTGAGAACTCAGTTTTAGGGAAATTAGCTGTTTGACACTGCATGTAGTGCCAGGTTTGCCAGTGTAAATTTTTTCACTTGTGTAAGTCTTTTCTCTGTCCTTCCAGGCAAAAGCAGGAAAGAGAACAGTTAATAAAGCAGTTGAGCCAGTTGCTGGGTATGGAATTAATGGAAGAAGTAATAAAGGAGAGTGTTGAAGAAGCTTCAACCAATGAGTTAAGGTATGGTACAACATGCTATGTGTTGTGGTTTGCTTTCCCAAAGGTTTCCTAAATGTCACGGTCTTCCCTGTTTGCACCTCAGCCAATTGAATTGGCATTTGCTGCAGGTCTTCACTTCACTAGAGGTCTTTGTTTGTTTTATTTGGAACTAGATGTGCCTTAGAAAGAGACCGGCAAGCCCGTATTGCCCGGTGCTCAGAGGAGGTGTGTGGTCACTTCATGGAGCTCTCTCTGGAGGATGAGATTTTCCAGATTGCCAAGGAAACCCTTCAGGAGCTCCAGTGTTTCTGCAAGTACTTAAAACGGTGAGTTACCATCCTGGGACATAACTGCTTTGCTTGGGAGTGTTGGTAAGGAGCTGTTAATAGAGATGGAACTACAGCTGTCTGGTTGTGTTCTTTTTGAGACAGTTTTTGCTGTCTTGCCTCTGTGATAAGGGTAGACCTTACAGACCTTACAGTCTTATTACCAACCCTCTGCCAAGTTACTGAGCTGTACATGGGTAGGGGAGCACACCCTGTGGGAGTCAGGTAATGAGCTTGGTAGGAGATTTCAGCTTCATTCTGTCTAGAAACTTGTAATAGTTTATCCTTATATTCTTTCTGTTGGACACTCATTTTTCTGGATATGTGTTCAGTGTTTGTTTTGTGGTTGCTGTGGTGTTCAGTGTACAAATACCTGGTGACAAAGGTCTACAGAGGAGTTTATTAATGTGACCTATTGATCTGTTCTCTTCCCAAGGTGGAGGGAAGCAGTGGCAGCTCGAACAAAGTTGAAACGTCAAATGAGGGCATTTCCAGCTGCTCCCTGTGGTATGGATTCAAAACATCAACTGAAAGCACTGTCTCCCAGTGCAGAGTGGCCTATAGCCATGGAGAACTTGTGCAAGAGATTTGTAAACCTGGGGAATGGAGGAAAGCTGGGAATCTCTTGCACAAGGTAAGGGTACTTCTAGTGGCACCAGCTGGCAATCTGGTAGATTTTTGGAAGATAAGTTACCAAAAATTCTTCCACTGTGAATGCAAGTGGTTTTGCAGAACTATCTGTTCTTAAATAGCCCCCAAAAGATTCTTTCTGCACAAATGCCATGACCAAGACTGAAAATCCAAATAAATAGTTCTATTAACAACAACTTTCTGAAGCCTCTGTAGTATTTCTCAGGCCTCGGTGTTTCTTAGATTTGTTTAAAATACCTTTTTTATACCAAAAAATACAACTTTTGTTTCCAGATTGAACTGGCTGAGAAACAAGACAGTGCATGAAATGAAAGTTCAGCACTTCTTCCAGCAGTTGGTAAGGTATGCTGAGGTTTGGTTCTTATTTTCATTCAAAGCAAGCTGTAACAGAAATGCCAGAGATCTCAAAAATGGCAGTAAGGTATGGCCAGTCATGCCTGGATGTCCACTTGCAGCCTTGCTTCTGGGAGTATTTTGGAAGTAAGGGAAACAGGAGGATCATAGAACCACAGAATGGTTTGGATTGGAAAGGACCTTAAAGATCATTTCAGTAGTTCCAACCCCCCCTCTCCCCACCATGGGCAGGGACACCTTCCACTAAAGCTAAGTTAGTGAAGGTGTTAGGCCATCTGATCCTTTGGGGTATAACTTTAAGGATCTGATGGATATTATAGGGGGTGGTTTTGTACCTGGGTGTGATGGGGCCTGGGATGGAGTATGGGGGGAGAGAAAAAAACGAGCTGTTAGTGGCCTGAGTGTGCATTGGATCAGTGAGGAAGTGAAGCAATACACGTGTGGTCTTAAAATCCCCAAAGTAAGGCTCATGTAACAGATTTAGCAGCTGCAATTCCCGAAGGCATCTGGTTACAGTATTGGAACTTGTTCAATGTTCAGACACCTCAGGTGGGAAAGGAGCACTGAGGTGGGTCTTTTCACCAGTTTCTGTCTCTCTTTAAGTGGTTTAGCTTGGACTCCCCTGGATCTCGTCTCACTGATCACTGAACATATTCCAGTTCAACAAGAACATGTTTTTTGGAAGGTGCTCTTGGTTTTGCCAAGTGATGATGAATATGCCAAGGACGATCCCAACAGGTAAGTAGAAGGGTTGATTGTTGGGTCCCTTTCTCAAACAGAGCAGACTTCTGTTTAGGTAGAAGAGGAGGAGTAGTACACAGTCCTTGGTGTATTTTTGCCTGTATCATGTCAAATTTCCAGTTAATTTTTTTTTCTCCAGAGCACACTAAAGAATTTTTTACAGTAATCTGTATTATCTAACGTTGTTTAATTCTTTTTGCTCATACTGAAAGCAAAACTTTGATATGATAATTTCAGGACAGTTCACAGCTCTTTATTAAGGTTATTTATCGTAACCTAAATACAAAGGATTATGATGGATTGTGGTGTCTTAGAGGTGCTGATAATAAAACCCTAAAGCGCCATTTTTGACAACAAAACTCTCAAAAGCCCACCTTTTTTTTGTTTGATAGGATACTGATGGATTGGTTGAAAGCCAAGTTTATGGGAGACAAAACGTGTAAGAAAAACACTTCACATCCAGAAGGCAGAATTCAAACACTGACATTATTTAGCTCTCCTGGCATGCAGGGGAACAGAAGCATTGAAGTCAGTGTGTGTATTAAGGTAGGTGAGAACAGTTTCATGATACCTAAGAGACAATAAAAGCATGGTGCACTCTCTTCCAGTGGATCTTGTGTCCTGTCAGATGGAGGGAGATCATACTGGGAGGGATGGGGTTGTTACAGAATATTCTGAGTTGGAAGGGACCCACAAGGATCATCGAGTTCAAAGGCCTGAAAAAAAAGATGGATTTTTTCCTTGTTTCCAACCATCTGCAGTAGTAGAACCCGAATCATCAATTCCTGGTCCCAAATCAGGTGCTGAAGGGCACCTTTGTGCAGACCTGCATCTCCCAGAGACATCCATGTTGGTCTGGTAACAGCTCTTTGTCTTAGGTTTTGTAGAGCTCCTGGTAATGGATGTCAAAGCTGAGTGGTGATGATAATACACTGCAGGTTTTGGTACATAGCTCCATTTAGCTACATCCCTGTTGTCATCTTTGTTGCTTGTCCAGGTGGCACAGGGTGCGCTCTCTGACTCGGAGCTTGACATGGCCGAGACACAAAAAGACTTGCTTGGGACCAGTGGCCTCGTTCTTCTTCTGCCCTCCCGAGTTAAGAGTGAAGATGTTGCAGAAGATGATGTATATTGGCTTTCAGCTTTGCTGCAGCTGAAACAGTTGCTTCAGGCCAAACCTTTCCACCCCGTAGTTCCTTTGGTGGTTTTAGTCCCCAGTCAGGAAGAGGAGGCCACGGAGAAAGAAGTAGAAGATGGTATGTAATTGTTTCTTTGTCTTGAAAATGTGAATATTTAAGGTTGCCCTAAGTAGAACTGTTGTGGCTGGTGCAGCATCTCAGTTACCTCATCCAGTAAAAGGGAGAGGCTGTGAAGTACAGCACTTCTCAGAGCTTGGCTGGAAATCCTGAGGCCTTGGAGCCAAAACTGATGAGCTCTTAAGTTTTCCTTCACACACAGTATTTGATCTTGAGAGTCTGTGGGCAGAGGTGGAGGAGAGCAGTGATGCTGTGAGTGTAATGCAGAGTGTGTGGTCTGAGGAGGTGTGTTCTTCCTCTGTGTAAATGGTGAGTTTTCTTATTTTTTTAAGGTTTGATGCTGCAGGACTTGATTTCAGCCCAGCTGATTTCAGACTACACCATTGTGGAGCTTCCAGTTTCTGTCAGTGACTTAGAAGGCACAAGAAGGGTAAGAAGAGCAAGAGAGAACTTGCTTATTATATTATAATATATATAAAAATAATTATATATAATAAAATAAATAATTATATCATATATAATATAAATATATAATTATATAATATATATATTATTCTCAGTAGCTTAAACTGCAACCGAGTCTCGTGTAATGGGATATTTTTTCCATTGGATTTTATGTAACGTAGTTTTTGTTCAAAAAGCTCTCCTAACCATTTTTCCACACCCCTACTCTGCTGGAGTGGGGTGCTTGCTTGTCAGTAGTGATTCCAACATCAGCCAGAACTATTCTGAAATGAGACTATTTCTGGTACTTTTCCACTGTTCGTGACTGTTCTGTTTTCATGGACCAGAGATCTGTGGCACTTGCTACAAAAAAAGTTAATTTAATCTGTGTAGCACTGAAAACTGCTCTGAGACTAAAATTCATGGATTTACCTAAGTCCACTCTTGTCTGCCCTGCCTGTGTTGCTGCCCACCAGATGAGTGCTGGTGGTAGGTAAACCTTTTATCCTTAAGCTCGAAGTCCTAAAATGCAGAGGACACTTTGTAGCTTTTCTGCCTTCTGTGATATCACCCAGTATTATCCCATCTTGGTGGATGGGACTGAGAGATGCCTCTATCCTGTCATGTTCTGTATGTGAAGAAGGATTGTACGGATCTCTGTCTGACGAGCCCAGAGTGATGCTCCCCCACAAACCCTCACAATGTACATCTCTGCAGTTCAAGGACTGCCAGGTTTAGACATGGCTTCTCTGGGTATAGTCACCATGGTCTTCTAATTTCTGTGAGTCTGTCCAATTTTTCCTGGATAAGTTTTCCACATTCCCAGTGTCCTGCAGCAGGGAATTCCACTGCACGCCTGTAACTCATGCGACCAGCCTCTTTTCTGTGTCTTCCTGAGCCTCCTTCATGGAAATTTAGTTTATGACCACCTAGTTGGAGAACTGTTGTTGCAAACATTGGGATGATGATAGCTGATTTATTTGCATTTTGCTGCACACTGTCTTGGATAGTGTTATGTCAAACTTAGGGTTGCTGGATTGAATCCTTTGTGTCTTGATTGCTGCAGAGCAGTTTCCAACCACCCCTGTTTTGTTTGTCGTAGATCTCTGTGGCTGTGGGCTGGCTGGTTTCCCGGTGTCCTGACTCCCTCGAGCTCTGCAGTAAGACCCTTCAAGAGTACATTGAGGATGGGGTTGATGGTGAATTTGGCAAGCGCTTCTACCACGACTGGAAGGAGAGGCGTTTGGCTGGCCTGCCATCCCAGGAGCCTGGGGTCATCATAGAGCTCTACAACAGTGTGCTGCAGTTTCTGTCAGATGTGGCATCCTCGGAGCACCTTTGTGACTTCTCTTGGCCTGTGACAGAGTTTTCAGAACCTGGGGGTAACAAGCTTTTGCCCCACCTGCAGTGGAACATGCCGGATCACCTGGCCTGGCTGAAGAAGGCTGTGCTGTCCTTCCAGATCCCATACCTAGATCTGCCTCCGTTAGGTGGTAGGTACTTCACACTGTAATATCTTCTTGGCAGCACGTGGTTCTCGAAGGTGTGCCTGTGCTGTGTTGGTTCTGTCACAGATTCCTGCAGTTTACTTTGGTTTATTTGTTTGGCAGCTCCTTGGCGTCCCGTTTGCCACATGATTTTTCAGTATGTCTCCCAGATTGCAAGTTCTTCCCACACTCAACCACTGATCCAGTCTCAAGTGGAGAATCTGCTGACCAAAACTTACCAAAAGTGGAAAAACCGAACAATGGGGAACTCTGATAAAGATGGACCTTCTGTTGATGAGATCCCTTGGGATTGTATCTTGGCAGTCTGCATTGATCATAAACTGAGAGACTGGAAACCGCCCAAACTGCCTATTGCTCCAGGTATTGCTCCTACAACATGGATGATACTTCTTCTATGATGGTATTTAATAACTTGCCAATGGTGCCTTTATGCATGGCAGCAAGTGAGATGTAGCAGGGAGGGAGCTGTTGTTTTGCTGTGATTCTGCACATCTGTCTTCTCCTTGGAGCGTGTGTTTAGTATTAGTTATGACTTGACTTGATCTTGTGATTACAAATATGTCTCTGGTTAGAGTCTTTTGGCCTGCCCTCCCAGTGCGTGAGTTTGCTTTAACCAAAGGCCAAGAATTGCCCCTCAAAAGCCATGTCAGCTGGGATGTGAGACTGCCATGGTTAATTAGCACTTCCATGGATTAATGAAGTTTGTCTCAAATGCTGTTGGCTTTCAATTTCAAGTGTGTGGGGGTTTTTTTAGCTTAACTGTAGGGAGCCTCTTTTAATGAAATGACTCCTTCATCCATTGAACCTGGGTGCAATAGAATTTCTAAAACTAAGAGAAAGCAGCATTTTACAGACTGCCAATAACCTGTTGAGTTCAAGAAGGCTCTTTTTTACAAGCAGATTACAACTGAAACCTACTTGAAAGTGAACACTCTCCCCAAATTGCCTTTTTAATACTGAGCTTTTCTTCTGAAGGAGAAAATCTGTGGAAATGATAAACGTTGGGCTTGGGTTTATTCACAGAAGCAGTAAGTAAAGATGGTCAGATTCATGTGTACTTCTTCAAGGAGCATTTAAAGAACTACACTCTTCCTTTCTCGTGGGATCAAGCCAGACTGCGCACGCAGGAGGAGATCCGACAAGGCCACGAGAGGTGAGGTGGCTGCTGGCACTGCCTGTGGGAGGGAGTAGCATTCAGCTGTTTGTGGAGAATTCCAAGGAGGTTGTTTGGCACCTCTACAATGCTGAAAATCAGCATGTGGCATCCTCCCAGAACATACCTGTGCACATCTCTTTGAAATGATGTACAAGGCTGTGCTGAAACAGGGCAGTAGGTAGATTTTATTTGTATGGGGTTACTCAGCTCTCAGAGAAATGGGTTGCTTGGGGAGTGCTCAAAGTGCTATAAGAGGAGAAATGAACTGGAGCCAAAAAAATGCAGCTGGGCCTTGGAGTTTGACTTGTCCAAAGCACGAAGGGAAAACTGCGAGGTTGAAAAAATGCTGGATAGGTTGAGGGGAAGGATGCCTTAGAGCTGTGTGGCACTATAAAGGTATTTGAGATCTCCAGAGTCTAGCTCACTTCCCTAGCCTCATTCAGAGGGAAGCCACCCTCTTCCCTCTTGGAAGCTTAGCTGCAGTTCTGCTGTGTAGTGGGTGATGTCTGGGGTGAATCCTGGGCTCCTGTCAGATTAGTTCCTCTCTAATCCCACGCACAGGTGGTGATGTGTTGGATGCTGGCACAAGAGCATTATTTCCCCAGATGATCACTTCTCACTCCCTGCTATTTCCAATCTTCAAGCTAATAGGGAAAAATCAACACACTCATACTGATTCCTGTGCTTTTTGTATGTTGGTTTTTTCCTCCCCTCTTCAGGTCAAGGATAAAATCCCCGAAGACTTTTAAGAAACCCTACAGCATGTCCACGATGCCAGGTCAGTGTGGCTCTGGCATGAGCAAGCCAGGTCAAGAGGTGAGCATTCCCAGCTCAGATGAATTCAGAGACGTTTCCTTGGCCCAGGAGCATCTGTTGGCACAGCTGCAACTGGAAAAAATAGAAAACAAGAGGTAAGTTCTGAGAGCAGCATCTTTTCTTTGCAGCTTCAGCCCAGGGTTATAAACAATTTCTAACTTATATGGAATGGGAAGCTGAACAGTGCTAGAAAACAGCCCAGACTGTCTTCAGTTTCCTCTGATTTCATGAAGTACATCAGTGCAGTTCCCTGCTATCTCCTACTTGCATCACAGGAACAGTCCAGGATGGTACAAATTCTTGGAACTTTTAGGAATGGTTGGAAATTCTGTGGTCAGTCATGCCACCACAACTGAAGCAGTACAGTGGTCTGTGTGTCCCACTGTGTCACAAATGTCTATAAAGTTCTCTCTGGGATGTCAGTTTTGTAGTGATGCAGATCACAAAGGGAAAGAACTACGCTTTTGAGGTTGGCCCAAGAGGTTTTTGCCTCTTCTGCCTTTCCCATCAGTTGGGTGTCTGCAGTCTGTGTGGCTGCTTTCTGTACCACACTTTTACGTGGTGGATTTTTGAAGTAGCAGTTGGCTGTGTCAGGCTGTGGAGGTCAGACACTTCTAAACCCAGAACTCTTAGTTAACACACTGGTTACAGGGACAAAGCCAGGCTGCCATTGAACTTGTGCTCTTGATCTTCCCATCTAGGTTTGAAGAACAGTTGCACCGATACCTGACTGAGGACACTGAGCCCCTTGGGGATCTCTTAGGTCTTCCTCTCTACCTCCCCCAGTCTCTGCTCTCCACCTCAGCCGTCACCTGCCCGTTGGTGAAGAGCCCCATGCCACCTGCTCAAGAGGTAAGATAAGAGGTCCTGAGCATTGGCTAAAGCTCCAAGGAGTGCAGTAGTTGCAAAACCTCTAGCGGGAATTACCTTGGGAGAAAGTCTGTCTCATCTCTCTTTCTTCTGCCCAGGCTGGGAGTCAAGAGGGACACAAGGTTGTGGAGACGGAGCAAAGCCCTGCGCTGTCGGACAGACTGAAACACTTGCAGCAGCTCCTCAGGGCAACCAGGGAGGCTGAAGCTGCCTTTGAGCTCCACCTCTCTGCTCTGGTGGACATGGTGGATATTTGAGCAGAGCTGAGATGCAGACACTCAAGAAAGAAATCCAGGTCTGGGTGACTGAACAGATATGCTAGTGGGGCATGTTCCAGAGCAATCAACTGTTCTCCTGGAATAAGAACATGGAACAGCCATGGAGCCTGGGCCCTTCTCACATGGCTGCCTTCCACAGGGTCAGTGTGTCACGGCTGGTCTGCGACTCCCTCATGTTCTGCTCCATGGGCATGGAGAGGAGTCAAAAGCTTTTCTTGGAAGGCCTTACATGACAGTGGTGGCTTTTCTTTCTCCCAGCTCTCATCGTGGGTAAACACAACTTCAGCAGGGGGAAACTGTGAAGTAGCACAGGGTCCCTGGGAACACTGGAGCGATTGCTCTCTGTAGACACAGTCCCTGAAATGTTGTCTCAGCTCTGTGCTTCCTTCATGCAGGAACTGCCTTGCAGCACCACTGTGGTTTGAAGTTCCTATTCTTTTCCCAGGAATGTCAATACTGGCATTCTCAAGGTGGGCCAGGTTTATGTTGCTCAGTGCAAATCCAGAAGGATTTTTGTGCTGCTAGGTCCAAGTTTTACTCAATATTTACATCTTTAAAACCAGGTGAGTTGCTTATTCCACAGATTCCATGTCATGCTGGAGAGCAGGATCCTTTCTTCAGTAAACACCTCTATGGAGAAACAATTTTCCTTTTTCTTTTATTGGAAGAGCAGTTTGCCTGCATTCTCCAGCACTGAAAAACCTTTGGAAGTTGAAGACCTTTTGGTTTAATTCCCAGTAAATAGTATGAAGATGTATTTCATGTCTGCAGTACTTCTGTACAGCTCGTGTTTTTCTTTTTTTTTCCTTACACAAGCAGCAAAATTTTCTCCAACAGAACCTTCTACCTGGTGAAATATAAACTACTGCAGTGAACACTGATTATTATCTCGCCTGCCAGACCCCAGTCTGCCTCCTAATTTCATCTGAAATCTGAAACAGTCAGCTAGCTGCCTTCCAAAAAAAGTAACTGTATAGGCTTTTTTTTAAAAGCGTTTCATTTGTACGATTTCTCTTAAACCCAAAATTAGCAGCGGTATGTCAGTGTTAAGTTGAAATAAGAAATGTAAACTTGAGAAGGTGGTGCTTTGAGGCTGTTCCCTGCTACACCGAGTTCTTAGTCCACCTGGAATTTAGCTGTCAAAACCCAAAAGAGCTTCGGGGGGGCGTGGCTCGCCACGTGTTTTTTTTTGTACCAAATAAATTTCTAGCGGCTCGAAAAGGTGCCCTTTTGCCTCATTCCTGTGGCGACGAGGGTGGGATTCGAACCCACGCGTGCAGAGCACAATGGATT